CCCAGAAAACGACTTCTCTCAGTTGATCTTGTACTGGTTATCCCGTAAGGCCTGGAGGACCAGAGCCAGATGTTGCGCATGCTCCTGAATGGAGATGAGGAGTGACATGTTGCACTATGTAGAAACATGTGAGTTATGCCACAGGAACAAGGTTGTGTGTTGACCTCCCCTTGGCCTACTCAAACCATTACCTATCCCAGATGCACCTGCACAGTCAGTGTCGATTGATTTTACTGACTTGGGTAGGACCACGCCTCGTGGTATGCGTCAGGTTATGGTATGTGGGGACCGGTTCTCTAAATATTCAGAGTTCATCCTCTTACCAGTTGAGGCTCGCATTTCGGCCGTCCAGGCGGCATTCGCTGACCGGTGGGTTACACTTCATGGACCACCCACCTCTATTGTCAGTGATCGGGATCCTTGTTTCTGCAGCAATGAATGGCAATCCTATTGCAGGGATTACCTTCATTCCAGATTGGATATGACATCTGGTCGTCATCCTGAAGCCAATGGACAGGCCGAAGTGATGAACCAGATTCTGTTCCAATTGTTGCGTCGTGTGATCAGTCCAGATCAACAGGACTGGGATCTCCATTTGGGTCGTGCAGCGCTTGTGTATAACACGTCTGTACACTCCTCTACTGGCTTCACACCCTACCGTTTGCACTTGGGTCGTGAGCCACGGCAGCCTCTCAATGATATCATCGATAAGGCTACCCCTACGCTGACACCTGGAACTGCAGAGTTCACCAGGCGTTACCGTGTGGACATAGAGCGCGCCCGGGCTACCCCTAGGACAGACAGGCCCTAAGGGCCTATTCTGCTAGACGGTCGTATAGCCTATAGCCGGGTGCGATAGAGGCCGAGAGGCCGAAACAGAAACGGTACCAGTCGGTCAGTCAGTCCGTTCTGGGTGGAGTCTAGGTTAGGTTAGTCTATAGATAGAATGGGCACATCGGTTTAGGGCTTTTGGCAGTTGGTACCGAGTACATCGCTGCTGCGCTACGTGTGAACCGGAAGTGGTGACGGCTCAGCGTGGAAGGAGACAGGCATAGCCAGACCTTCGGAGCGCCGGCCATAGTTGGGACCTGCGCTGTACTCTGCCAGCCCGCAGGGCCTGACAGAGGTCTGGGCTATCGAGGTCTGCTGGAGGCGAGAGAAGTTGGTGCCCTGCTGGACCCTCCTCCGGAGTGGGGTTCCAGGGTGGTGGCGCTGCAGCCATAGCTGCAGCGCCGTCCTCAGAGGTCATCTTGTTAGGGTTTGGTGGCGCTGCTGCAGACTTCCACCCGGGAAGTCTTCCGACACTCCGTCATCATCAGATATTGTGGCGCTGGTCTTCTTCTTCATCCTCTGAGTGGCGCTTCGCCTCTGAGGCCTGTTTCAGGGTGGCGCTTCCCTTTGGAGGCTGTATTTGGGCGGCGCTTGATGTTTCAGGGGCTCAGGGGTGTTACGGGTGCCAATCAGGGTTGGGGAGTGAAGCGCTGCTCATTTCTGAGCAGCGCACGATAGTTCTGAAGTTATCCTGACAACTCGAGACTCTGAGTTTAATAAACAGTGTGTAACTGGGTTTGGACTATCATCATTTCATTGTTTCCTGGATGTGATCTGCTCGGCTTTTCTTTATGACTGGTTGTGAGGATTGAGTGGAGTGAATTGCACTTTCAGTCTACCCTGTCATATCGCATGGTTAAGTCTTCCGCTGTGTTATCTCTCCCTGTGCGGTGTGATACTCCTATCCTCTCCCCTTCCTTCTGTGTATGTATGGGCATACCTGGAAGTCTATGCGAGTGAGTGTTGGTCATCAGACAACAAACAACCAGAATCATAACATACAGCTGCAACTGGTTACCAACACACGTAAAAAAAAAAAAAAAAAAAAAAAAACCCTTCAAAAAAAAGGAGGTTGATTGTGACAATGGATATAATGGAAAAAAAAAAGCCAGTCAGAAGCAGAGTGTGGGACTGGGTGGCCGAGCTGGCGGAAGACATGATAAGCAGCGCACCATTGAAAAAAAAAAAAAAAAAAAAGGAAAAAAAGCTGAGTACGGACGCCGCCCGGGCAAACCGGGCGGGCAAAAAAACAGCCCAGAAATTTTTTTATTTTTTTTTGAAGGCGGGATCCTCCTGTGCTCGGTGAGAGGACCCCGAATCTGCAATAAAATTCTGGTTTGGGGGGGGGATGGGTTGTCTGGG